AAATCGTTACAGTATATTTTTCTAAAAAACTCATAAAAATAGCAATCTAAACGAGGCTTTGATCTTGTGATTATTAGTTCCTCAAAAAAAAAAAAATTTCTCGTAATCATTTGTGTTTCTCAAACTGGGCCCTTTTTGGCTTTCTCCTACAAATTTTTTTTAATAACTTTATCTACAATAACCTCAAAAAACTAGTAAAGTTTTTTAAAATACACACTGCAAAATACTCAAAGACACAAATAATTTCCCTTCTTCCTCTTCCACCTCAACCCATCACCACCTTCGTCGTCGCCCCAACACTGGCTGGCATCTCTTTCGATGCCAATTCCGGTGTTGGCCACCTCTTCCGGCTCCGATGCCGAGGCCATTTTTTTTTTTTCTTCTCCTTCTTCATTTCCCTCTCTTCCTCCCCTTCCCTCTCATCAGCCACACTCCCCCCTCCCTTCTGTTGCGCAATCTGGTCGCATGACCAGATCACCTGCGACGGACACCCTTTCCCTTCTTTTCCCTCTCCGTCGCGCGACTAGATCACGCAACGGAGAGGGAGGGATGGGGGGGAGAGGTGGTGGGTGAGAGGGGAGGAGGAAGGAGGAGAGGAAAAAGGAGAGGGAGAAGAGAAAGAAAAAGAGAGAGAAAAAAAAAAAGGCAAGCTGCTGTCGCCGACAGAGGTTTGGGCATCGGTGGTCGGCGAGTGGTGAGATGACGGAGAATGAGAGGAGAGGAAATAAAAGAAAAAAGAAAAAAAATGAATAATAAAAAAAGAAAAAAAATTTTCATCTAAAAATTTTTTTCTACAAATTCTATAGTAAGTTACAGTACAATTTTAGACAAACACCTAACAAACTCATTTGCCAAACGGAGCCCAAATTTTGCGGAGATTGGGCTGGAATGTCGTACTCCGTCTATAGCACTTAGTAGGGTTTATCTAGTAGAGGCCTGGGAAATAAACTGATCCTTAAGTAACAAACCATTTCTGGTCCAATAAGCTCAATACTTTATTTCGACCTAGAGCATTTAACAGCGTCGAGAATTGGTCCATTCACTTAACCCACGATCCACTGCCACAAGCGATTTGGTCCAATGGGCAAGAGTTCAATCCTTCTTATTTTGACCAACTCCCTAGATTTTGCACATTTCTTCCTATTTTGTAAATCTCTCTTGAACTCAAAAAAAAAAAAAAAAAAAAGTTTGCTGAGAAGGTCTCGGTCTACAATTACAAATCAAGATTGAGGATCTTGGATCCAGAAATCTTGGGTCCAAGTCCCACCAAATTATGAGTTTATTTGAATTTTATGTTGATTTTGTCTCACTGAGTTTTGGATTAGTTGTAAACTTGTAATTTGAGTCGGTTGTAATTGATTAAATCAATACTATAATTGTGGGTGATATATATGTAATTTCAAGCTTTATTTAGTTGATTAGCTCTTCTACTTTCTTACTCTCAAACTTTCCTCAATCCCAAATTCCCTTTCATTTTGTAAGTCAACCCAAAAAATAAAATATAAAAAATATTTGACCATAATATATTCCTTGTTCAACCAGAGAAAAAAAAAAAAGAAAAGTCTTCAACCTAGTCAATATGTATAAATTCTTTTTAAAAAAAATTCTGAGTGTTAAAGAGAATAAAAAAGAAAAGAAAAATCTCAACCCAACTATAGAGAGTACTAGTGTTGTTCTAGGTATGTACTAAAACTCTATTTGTTTTGAGGGAAACAGGAAAGGAGGGAAAAGAAAATAAAGGAAATGAAGGAATAAAATTTTTAATGTTTGGAATAGTTTTTTTGAAGAAAAAATAAATGAAAGGATAGGGAGGAAAAGGACGTGATACGAGGTCTAGTTATTTCTTGTTAGCTTGTTTTTTCGTCCAAAAGTGGATAGAAACAGAGGAAAATAATACCAAAATTTTTAAATATTGTAAAATTTCTTAAAAACTTATTACTGTGTGTTTATAAATTGGACTTTTAAATTATGAATAAAAAAATGTGTTGATGATGCAAAGAAATAAATGTGTGTAAATAAGGTGCAAATAAATGCAATCCAAACAAACTCTTCGCTTGAATTATCTGTTTTTGAGGGTGTTTTTAAAATATTTTACAGTTGATGTTTTTTGTAATGTTTATGAAATATATTTTGAAGTACCTTTTAAAATTAAGGTATTTTTAAAAAATTAATACTACCACACACAACTACAACCCCACCCTCTATCACCACCACCTCTTCTCTCTTCCTCCTCCTCTCCCTCTCTCTTCCCTTTCCTTCTTTCTCCACCCATCCCCTTCCATTCCACCTCAAGTCTTCAAAAGGGAGGGGAGAAGGAAGAGGGAGGGGAGTGGTGACAGTGGTAGCGGCAGTGGCGGTGGCAACGGTGATGGGTAGAAAATATTGTAAAATTTATTTTTTAAAATTTTTATGTGTATTTACAAGTTGTTTTTTGAAATTTTTTTATATTACTGTAGTATTGTATTTGAAAACTAGTTTTGTACCCGTTCGTTGAACGGGAATCGTCGAAAAAAAATAAATTATTTAGTCAATTTTATAAAAATATCGATATAAAATACAGATTTAATGTATACTCTATTATAACTTGTAATGTATAATCTATTATAACTTGTCTTAAGTGTATTACTATGTAAAGTATACAAATTTATATAAATTATTCCTATAGTATAAATTTGAACATCTAATTCAGTGAATAATAATTTAAAAATGAAAAAAATAACATTCAACAATACCGTAACATTTAAAAACTTGAAAATAAATAAAAAGTGCAGTAAATAGTATCAAATAATATTTTACTATTCAGAAACTTGTTTTGTTTTTCTTCTGTTTGAACATTCTCCTTGATTTGTCCGTGCAACTCAGCATTTATTGATTTTCCATTATTATTGCATGATAGCAAAGCAGGATTTAATTAGCCACACTATTTATGGTATTTGATGTATTAAAGTGGGTAATAATTTTATAGTAAATTATATTTGTAGATTTAATTGACTATATATTATGCCCATGAAAATCTTGTTGCGTTGATCCTTGAACACCAACATACATAAATTTCGCAAAAGGAACCAAAATAAATTTTTCCCTTTGAGTTCATGATCACTCAAGAGGCATAGGCCAAATGCTTATAATATGAATATTTAACAATAGTGTCAGACATAGCAAAAAAAATTCAACTAAAGTAACTAACAGTAATAATAGCCAAAGACACAAATTTCGTGAAGAAATGTCTTAGTCAATTGATTATTAAAAATTTAAGAACAACATGGGACGTAATCAATAATAACATTTACTTCCATAAAATTCTTATATCTGAAGATGAACATATTTTTTTAAAAAAGAATATTTTGGCTCGCTGAAAACAATTTCATTACAAAAATTCTGGACAACAAAACACATGAAAATTTATATATATGAGGTGAAAATTTGATTAAAAAATATTTACAAAAAACATACGTAATTTTTGAAAAAAAAAAATGGCAATCCATGCAAAACCTAGTTAGTCAAGGAAGTTGTCCGTCTACCGAAGTTTTTACTTAGCATAGCTGCATCCTTTTAAAACTTTTCATTCATCTTGTAAACTTGAATCTTTCAACAATTGTTTGTTCTCATTTTTTTGACATGTTTAAAAAATGAAAATTATCATGTATTCGAAACGGCCCAATAGGATTCCGTCATGAGATTGATCTTCGCATTAATCGGTCAAAAGAAAGACTCCAAAGCTATTCACAGAACGGGTGCACCCATTTCAATGTACTGACGCGTGCATGCGATTCCCTTTAAACTTATTTCTGATTCGATGCATGTGACCAATTAAAGAAATTCGATGGAAATTCCATTTGACAATTTTTCAATGGATCTTGCTCGTTTTGTCATGTTCTGCTTACAAAGAGCAGGTGGCATAATTTTATCACTCAATTGTTTAGAGTTATCTACTTGGGACAGTAAAAAAATTATTTTACCCAAAGTGGTCTTTGAACCAATTAAAATATATAACATTAAATCAATTATATTTTGGGTTGAAAACGTGCATGTTAAATCAATTTCTATGTCTTCATACAAAACAAACAAAATAAAATTAAAAAAAAAATTCTAGATATGTTACTAAATTCTTACAATTGAAGATCAACATGCATTTTTTTAAAAAAAAATTCTAGATATGTTAATAAATTCTTACAATTGAAGATCAACATGCATTTTTTTTTAAAAAAATATGTATTAAAAGAAGATATACCTGATAATCAAGAGGAGGTTGGAAACTCAAAATCGATACTTTAATGTACCAACCGCTTGCATTAAAAATACCTAACTATGAATTTGATGCTTGAAATCAATATATTAGAGGCTATATGTAGTATATGCATAAGAAATAAGAATTGATAAGAATATAAAGAGATATTTATAAGAACATTAAAAGTAGGTTTATCTTGATTTAAGTTACTTAAAGTACATAACTTTGGGTAAGAAATAAGAATCTTATAATATTAAGAATTCTTATAGGAAATAAAACCACTATCGTCCAAATAACTATTTTTTTTTGAAGAAAAGATGATTTATTAATTGAAATTAGTTACTTTTCTACTTTTTGTAACGATAACAATTTTTATCAGAGTAAGAATTGATATATTTTAGTATGATTGATATATCTTATCGGACCAATCATATAATATAGGAAATAAGAATTCATATAAATCCAAACAAAAAAGGAGTAAGTCTAGCCACGTAAGAAATTATTTGTCGTTTCGTTAAGCCACATAAAAAAAAAAAATTAAGCGATAAGAATGAGAATATGACTTTATTATATATATATATATATATATATATATATATGATTTTGTTTTTGAAAAATATTTCACTCCAAACGAAGCCAAACTCCAACTGCACAGACGGAATTTGGCTCTTTCATTCATTCATTAAACTGATAAAGTATCACACTTAACGTGGCAGACGTAGGAAGCGACACATGGGATACCGGTCTTGCAATAAAACCATTACGCCCATTCAGTTTCTGACAAATTCTCATTGTCGTCAGGTTTTGGTTTTGACTTTTGAGTCAACTCCATACTTTCAAGTTTCAACTTCTTCTCCATCGTTATCATCGCATTCATGGTTAGTAACATATGGCTCTCTCTATCTTATTTCTGGAATTTAATCCAAATTTTGTATCAATATTTTTTTTTTGGGAAAAAAAATTGGGCTGTAGGCCGGAGAGGAGTCAAAGAAACTGAAGCTCTACTCTTACTGGCGGAGCTCTTGCTCTTGCCGCGTTCGCATCGGTCTCAACTTGAAAGGTTCTCCTCATTGCTCCCTCCCCCTTTTCTTTTTCGCTGCTTTTATTTGATTTTTAATGATAATCCTCCTTTTTCTTGATTGATTCCCAAAAAATCAATGTGGTGGATATTTAATTGAAATTGAATATAAAAAAAATGTGTATATACATCAGGATTAGAGTACGAGTACGTGCCAGTGAACTTGCTGAAAGGAGAACAACAGACTCCTGGTTAGACACCCTCTTCCACTCCTTCTCCTATCTGTAATTTTTGTGATTAATTATGTTATTCCTGGTAATATGCTAAGGTACTGTTATCATCGGCTTCAGAGAATATCAGTTCCTTAACAATCTGATCATCAACTTCGTTCAATGTACGATTTACATTTTTTGAGCTATTTTCATAACTATGGGATGGAACACAGAGAAAATGTAATGAATGTATGTCTGTCATATTTTTGGGTTTGGTTTTTTTTTTTGGGGGGGGGGGGTGTAATTAAGGAGGGTCAGTGATAGCATTATTGTTTTGTGGTGCACTAACACAAGGAACGAAGTGACTGTTTAGTGTGGTTTTAGACCATTAGTATCATATCGAAGGATTTCTGCTTATTCTGCAATAATTTTATCTGGTGCAAAGAAAAAAATTCTAATACTTTGTGTAACTGGAAATGCAGAGTTTTTGAAGCTTAACCCTGTTGGGTTAGTGCCCGTGCTGGTCGATGGTGATGTAGTACTTGCAGACTCGTTTGCCATCTTGATGGTGGGCTTCTTGTTTGATTTTATGCTTCCAGTTGGATGTATGATACCCAGTTCTGATGCTAGCGTGTGCCTTTTCTATGCAGTATCTTGAAGAAAAGTTTCCTCAGCATCCCTTGTTACCTAAGGATCTTCATAGAAGGGGTATCAACTACCAGGTATAGGAGTTTCAGGTTATACTGCTTGCCAATTCACCACTATATTAAATTCGTTATTTTATTTTATTTTATTTTTGGCATAAAAAAATCTGGTATATATCTGGTTAATGATCTTATGTTTGCTGGTGAATTCGTTATCTAGTCACTGCTTTCTTTATTTCATCACTGTAAAGCAAATGCTAATCTTGTGGGAATTCTTCTACCATTATTGACTTATGACTAATTGATGGCTTATAAGATCTTGTTCCATTATGTCACTGCTTTCGACTGTTTTCTGCCCCTGCTAACCTGGAGTGGTCTTGTTCATTTTAAGAATATAGATACAAAGTTTTACCCTGGCTCGTCTTATAATCACAAATCATTTGGGAGAAATTTGCCCATTAATGTTCAAGTAACTAGAAGGATCATCTACGTTGATCTTATGGTTGACTTCCCCTGCAACAGAGATAGTTTTTCAAGTTATATAGACCCCACTTTGTGATCTGAGATGGGTCGCTTAAATTATACCTATTATATGGAGAGGGTGGAACTTTTTTAAGGTCAATGGAATTGGGATAGACAGTCTATACAAACGTATGCTGCCACTCATGAGACTTTTCCATGTTTGCTAGGGTTGTCCTTTAACTCAATGCTGGTGCTGGTATATGCTTTGAGATTTTTGGTTTGGTTGGAGTAGCTTATTGTTTCCGGAAAAAAAAGAAAGGAGTTGAAACTTAAATTACCTATATGTAAAGTATGAGAGGTTGTTTTCTAGTTTAAGGTGTAAATACTTATTCTTGTGTATGTGTTTTCATGATCATTATGGTTGAATCCTAACATGTTTCCTATCTTGTTTGTCATTTATGTGGAGGCTGCGAATATCGTTTGCTCAAGTATTCAGCCTTACCAGAATATACCTATTCTTGTAAGAAGAAATGCTCTATGGATTTTCATTGACATATGGTCATTCTTGCATGTCTCAAATATTAACCATAAGAAATCATGTTTGATTTCCTTTATCTATGCAGAAATTTATGAAAGAAAAATTGGGTCCTGATGCAGATGTTGCTTGGGCTCAAGATCATATTCAAAGAGGCTTCTCTGGTAAGCCTTTAAATTTCCTTTGCAACAACAATTATAGTGCTAATTCTGTTACTTGAGAAGAATCACTAATCACACTTCTACCTTTCCAAGATATACCTTCTCAACTTATCTTCAACTATTTAAGAGTGTCTATTCTCCTATTTCCTGACAAAGGTTACACGAAATTAGTTGTTAAGAGACTAAGGAGCGCACAATATATATAAAAACAATGGATTTGGTTCTGCTGTTGGTAATTGAGGTACTTAATGCAGCTCCGTAAAAATTGGGCTCTTCTCAACTTACTATAATCAATTCAGATTAATTGGTTGGTCATCATTTTTTTTTTTCAGATTCTGGTGTGGTTTGCTTGTTGGCTTAGGCAAAACGAAACTCCATCAGACATCGTAATGAAGTCAATTTTCTCTCATCTAATAGGTTTCCAAGTTCCTTGATCTTCATTTTATGTGGACAGAAAAACTCACAAGTTTTTGATATGTCATGCGTTCCTATGTGTTACTGCTACATTTTGTCCATTTAAGCAAACAGTGTCCTTGTCATTTACGCTAACACAACACAAATAACTTAATGTCACTACAATTAGTGTAAGGCAAGTGATTCACATGTTTTGTTCAATATTCAATTGTAAGTTTATTGGATCATTCACAATTTGAGGAGGACTAGTTGTCTTATGGTGCAGTCTCATTTTGATTCCACAACTTGTCTTCCTTTTTGAGACAAGCTCTTATGTAGTGATTATTTTGTCCAATACAAGGAGCATGAGTTATGATTTGTGCTCAAGTTGACTGGTCACTGCAACTCTTCATCATAACTCATATTGTAGTATGGGAAGACAGTTGTGGGGGAATTTACACTTTTAGGATGAGATTTGACTGACCTGGACTGAGGCAACAGATACCGAGGTTTGCCATCCATCACAAGGAAGAGATGCATAATGTTCTGACATATGTCCCCCAAGTATTGATTAGTTAAAGAACATCAAAATGCTTGACGAACATAGCTGGTTCCTTTTTTTTTTCCGTTTCTTTTTTCAATTTACTCCTTTATCAGGCAAAGTAACAAGGATGTTAAGGAAATGACCTAATATTTTCTTTGATCCTAATCAAGGAATTAGTTCTTTGACTAACAATTCTTGTGAACTTGAATTATTTCAGTTAATCATTGTATTTTATGTTCGGGCATAACTTTGGTAAAAGTAGTCTTAATTGTGTTAGCCTTTCTATTAGCTGCTATTTACCATCTCTATTCCCATGCACATTGCCTGATTCTGGAATTCTACTGGCAGCTCTTGAGAAGCTGTTGAAAGATTATTCTGGAAAGTATGCTACCGGGGACGAAGTTTTTCTGGTCCGTTTCCTTCTTATTGCACTTTATTGCCTGTATTGATGCATGCAAGTTTCTGTTTTTTACTCTGATAGTGCTAATAGCAAGTTACGTGGGTAGTATGACCATCTTTAGTTTAGATTCCACAATTAGCAATGTATCTTCTTAAATCAATTAGCAGTGTATCTTCTTAAATAGAAATTTGGTGGATTTGTGCAAGTGAACTTATTTTGCACTCAGTTCCGTCTCTTTTGCATTTGGTGACTTGGACCCTGCATGTTATTCTCAGTCTGGGATAACCCATTTAGCTGATATTTATATATGTCTCCACCCATTTTTCTAAAGGGTAGATGGGGTTTTTACTTGAGAAAAGTTGGTATATTTAGGCTAATTAAAGCAGCATATGAAAAACTTGAGAAATCAGACAGAGTTTGAGACGACAAATGAAGTCTAACACCAATTAGAGCAGGCAATTTTGGTCTAGAAACTACTTAGTATTCCCATCACAATTCCTGTAGCGTAGTATTGAAAGGTGCATTATGGTCTCAATTTAGTGAAGACTTAGGTGTTGCATGTCCCCCTAAATGTCTAGATAACTTCCAATTATTCAATGTGATGTATGAATCTGATGTCAGCAGTGAGAATCATAATGCATTAGGTTCCTTGGAGGAGAAAATGAGGTGGACGTAACTTTGTAAGGTCTGTTCAAGTCAGACTTTCTTGAAGGATAGGTGCTTAGTGAAGTTTTACTGCTATAACTTCTGAAATAGAATTAGATGTAATTTTTCTGCTGCTTCTGATAAGTATATCTTCTTTTCCATTATTTGCAGGCTGATTTATTTCTGGCACCACAGATTGATGGTGCCATTAGAAGATTCAAGGTTGACATGGTAATCTCTTCAATGTGTTATATTTTGGGTGCATTTTAGCTTAGCACTTGCCTTTTTCTCTCCTAATTTCAATTGATTAGCAACAGCATATTTGTTTGCTACTGTGGCGTTATCAAAGATCTATATTTTGGTTAATTGTCAGTTGCACTATTCTGATTGGAGCAAACTTGAAGAAGATATTATTTTTTCAGCTGTTTTTCCAGTTCTGAATTAACACCTACTTGAAATTCATTTTGCAGCTGTTATGCTGATTCTTTCTAGCAATATGCATCTTCAAGCTGCTACTTAACTTTTTCCTTGAGTTTTATGAAGGATCCTGACTTTCTAGTTTGTAATATGTTTTGCATGTTATAGAACGTTTGTAATTAACTTTCCTGGGTTTCATCTGCATTATTAGTGGATTTGTTTCTGTTGTTAAATTACTCGAAGACTTTTAACCGTCTGTATTCATAGGATGAGTTTCCTCTTCTGGCGAGGATTTTCAAGGCATATTTAGAGCTACCTGCATTTCGGGATGCTATGCCAGAAAGGCAACCTGATGCACCAGCTGAGCATCGAGACTGAGGTATTCAACTTATTGATAGAGTAACTGATTTCTTCTTTTTTAAACCAAACTTTTTCTCAAGAGAAGCATCTTTGACTGAAGGAAGAGAGACAGAGAAGTAAACTTGACAGGTGATCCGGCAGTCACATGCTAGCTTTTCAGTGCATCTGATATCAGTAGAATCCTATATTTTTCTTTACCTTCTGAGTCTTGCATGTTTGTCCCCTTGTCAGCCTACTCTAACCTGCGTTTGTATTGCAGCTTCTTGTTCTTGGTCAGGTATTCAATATGAAATCCCGGCCTTTTCTTTTAAATGGCATGGCAAACATGGGGTGGTGGAAACAAGAAATCACGAAAGCAGGATAAATAAGTGATGACCAATATCCACTGATGTCTATGCTCTGCAGACAATTTCTAACTTTGTACAAATGTCACTCATCCATGTTTGTTTATTTCCCATGGCGGACTTGCTTCATTTCCAAAGAAGAGGTGAACTGACTTCGTCCCAGGATGAAGCAGTACCTTTGTAAGCAATACTACTGTGTTTAACTTAGCATGTCGTCTTCGACCTGATAAACCAAGTAAAGCAAATCAATGTTTTTTGTTTTTTATTTTCATTTTTATTTAAAGCAAGTTGTTGTTGAATTTTGACTAAGGAGAGCAAGTAATAATACCTTATTCTTTAAAAGAACAAAGAAACATTTATTATTTTCTTAATAAGCAGAGGAAAATAATCCAAGCTATACAACGCCTTACATAAGCTCCAATTTGTGAAACCGGAAGCCTTATGTTCCATAACTTGGCCGCCAGCGCATTAAAACACTGAATCCAGTTATTCACATTTTAGTTCCCTAAACAGATAAGAGCTCCATCCGCCCATATTAGGACACGTATGGTTGAGATTTTGCTGCTGTTTTTGTGCATGTTACTAAATTTAGTGTAAATGTTTGTTCATCTTATTAATTCAATACATGAGTAAAACTAATTTTTGCAAGTGTACATTAAATCTTGAAAGGAATATAACAATCATATTAACTGTACCTAAAATCTACCAAACTGGCCAACAATGCGTATACGAAAAGATGCGTCGAATTTGCTTTTGCTTCTTGGTTTCACCTGCTCTTAGCTGGTTGCTATAGCCATTAAAAGGATTTTTTCAAAGAAGAAAGGCAACAAAAACAAGTCCTACTCGAGCAGTTGAGCTTAATCAATATCGTCTAACAACCATGACTCTATGAGTTCTTGCATTGACTGGGCTCTTTGTGGATTCTTCGTTTTTTTAGAAATAAGTTTTTCATATACAATGCTATAATAATACATAAACAAAAACAATTCCAAAGATATCATATTCATATAGTATATCAAAATGAACTCCAGATATATAAAAAATTTATATTATTTTCTTTTTTCATCTATCACTACCATTACCTCCTTCCTCTTCCTCCCCTTTCCTCCTCTCTTCTTCCTCCACCCCTCCTCCTTTCCCTTTTCTCTCCCGTTTCCTGCCTTGTACTGGAGGAGGGGAAGGGATGGGAGGGATAGGGTGTGACGGGAAAAGGGAAGGGAAGAGAGAAGGGTAAAGGAAGGGAAGGAGGGGAGAAAGAGAGAAGGGTAAAGGAAGGGGGAGGAGTAGGAGGAAGAAGGTTAAGAGAGGAGAAGGGAGAAATCGGTAGTGGTGATGGATGGTAGTATTAATTTGTAAAAAATATCTTAAAAATTTTTGAATTTAAAAAATACCCTAACATATATGCCAAAAATATCTCCAAAAACATTACTAAAAATATTTACAATAGAAATTTTTTATATATATTATTATCGTAAAATATTTCAAAAATATCTCCAGAAATAACTATACAAATAAGTGGACTTCGATCCTGCCCGTGGAGACCGGAGACTTGCGATACAAATAAAATAAGCGGCCTTGCGCTTGACTATGACTATAGCTTACAAACGGAACTTTCCTACTTTGACAATAAATAATATTATTTGAAATATTATTTAAAATAAATATTGTAATACTTTTTGTGATGTGATGTATGTGAGATAAAAAGTAGTTGGGAATATAAAAAAAATGGATTGGAAAACGTGTTTATGATACAAGCGAAATATTATTTGAGATAAATTTGCAATCCAAACATACTAATTGATAGTTGACAAAAAGTTTGGTCAAATATGGCTCATTGGCTGCCTGGTATCAATCTATGCCTGTCGCTCTTATATGGCGCGATGGTCAGCAAAATTTTTTTTTTTTAAAGCCCTTCTGACCGTCGCACCATGGAGGAGCGACGGTCAGAGATGTCAGAAATTTTTTGACCGTCGCTCCTATATGGCGCGATGGTCAGAAATATTTTTTTTTTAAAAAAAAATCTTCTGACCGTTGCGCCATGTAGGATCGACGGCCAGAGATGTCAGAAAAATTTTCAAAAAAAAAATCTTCCTAGCCGTGGTCAGATAATTAATAATTTTTTAAATAAAAAATCTTTCAGCTAGGCGATTTAGAAATGCTTTTTTTTTTTTTAAAAAAAAAATCTTTGTACAATTCAATTGGAAATTCGACAAAAATTTTTCTGTGAAAATTATTTAAAATCAAAATTTTTAAAAATAATGCATACAGTTTGACAAAATTTTAAAAACAAACATTGGGCACGCAAGAATTTTAGCATTTTAAAGGAGACTAGGTTTAAAAAATTTGATCCAGTTGTTAAAGGATTTAGGGGTTTCTTAAAGAATTAATGTTTACCATTTTAGCAAGTTTAAGTTATATAACATGCGTAACTGTTATGATTTGTTAACTTTAGAAAATGATTTAATAATATGATTTAAGTTTAAGTGATTGCGTAATGGATGAAAGTATTGCTTAATATTATTATGATTTGTTAATTTTAATTTTATTATGTATAATGCACACAGAATGTTAAAGGAACCGTAATTGTGTCAAAAAATGAAAAATTATAATACGAATTACGATTTATATATTTAAATTTTCATATAAAATGTAATCGTATAAAAAGATTAATAACATACTTGTCGAAATGAAGAATTATTTGCGTGTCATTATTTGGTGTACGATAATTAGTTTAAATAATTTAATCAATTAAAATAACTGTAAAACAACTAGTACTTATTTGTTTTGTGGGTATTATCCTATAAGGACCTTTCTATCCAATTATAGGGTTTAATAAAGTAAATTGTACTTCTCTATTTTGAAAATGTTTAACGTTATTCAAATTGAAAGTGATTGGATTAAACAGAAAAAATAGACAACTAAATTAAATTAAATGTCATGTGAAATGCATTAAAATGATGAAATATAAAATATCGTCGAAGACAAAATAATATCAATGCCTCACAGTTTTCTTACCTTTATCCTTAGCCTTGCCCTTATTCTTCTCTTGAGGTATCGTCGGGGGACAACAATATCTAGGAACAGGCCTTCTCTGACAATTACGTTGCACTCGTTCTCCAATAACTAGCACAGGAACTTGTGGAACAGCAGTAGATGGGTCATAATCTTCATCTGCGTTATTAGAGACAAGGGTATTCTCGATTGTCGACTCAACTGTCTCATCACTATCATCAGTGTCTTTGGAACTTTAGTCGTGAAAATTTCCTGGAACAACATGTCCTGACATACCTATTGGTTGGGTTTGAGTAGGCGTGAACATAGCCTGACCAAGAGTGCAATAATCCGAAAGATCTATAGTAGTAGAACCACCTCCCGTGGCACCAATCAAATCATATATTTGGCTAAGATCTGCACGTAAGGAACCCCCTGATGTAGTGGTATTTTACCCAAATACAGGTATATGCGGCAAAGGCGTGAATGGTGAACCAAACGCAGGTACGGGCGAAGACGTGAATGGTGAACCAAACGTAGATACGTGTGGGGAATGAGTGAATTGTGTACCATAAACAGGAAAGTGTGGCAATTGTGTAAATTGTGGCAAAGTCAAAATCGGTGTATGTAGTGATGTAGAAAAATGTGTACCGGTCAACCTAGTGCAATTTTGAGGGTCCACTTCAAGGTCATGATTCTCTGCTTTGTTGTCGTTCTCATCATGCAAGCCATGCCTGTGTCGTCTAACTCCGCTGGTAGATGATCGAGCTTGACGAGGGGCATGTCCAATTGATCTCTCATAAGGAATATATGCTGAAACTGTGTTTGGGTCTCAAATGGGTCCTAATCACCAACTTTCATACGATCGTATTGTTGAAGGTACTGCATAGATCCAAATGCACCATCCATGATCGTCAAAAGACGCAGGTGAAAAACATGTCCTGGGTCATCAAGATTGAAGGTTTCATGCTACTGATGTCCAATGCGCTGCATGGCATCCATCTGATACAAAGAAAATAGACAAATTAATATAATGTACAAGATTGACTAGAAAATGCTAGCAAAAAGCATACATATTGACGAAGTGAAAATTGTAGGAGTAGTAATTACCAGATATTCAAGTTGTCCTGATACCCCGTAGAGCATGTGCCCGGACTGCGTCTGCTGATGGATAGGAGACGTAATGTACAAGATGGTGTGGCGGTGGTACCATGTGAGATACTCTTTTGAAGGTCTGAATATATTTGTAGGCTGTCCCTGGACCTCAGTTTCGTAGCGTCGATCCCAATAACCTATCCAACTCCTATGAAACTGAGCCCAACTTCTTCCTAGAAATCCAGCTAGACCAAGTTGTTGCAAATCCTTATGATCAGTGTCAATTTGTTCAGAATTTTTTTTGTACCATGCAAAACTGACGCATCACTCGATCTGGACAATGAAATTCAACTATGTGCTAAAATATCAAAGGGACCTTTGCTCGCCATATACGCTCTCCTCGTTTGCAATACGCGAGTAGAGATGACAGTATGTCATTACTATATGGCATCCAGATGAACTGATAGAACAGGAAAATTAGATACTCAATCCTTATTGCCTTGAATAGAAATTCAGCAAAATGCAAATAATAATTATCTACAAAATAATAACATACATGATCCATTCTTAACAACCCTATCTGCTCTCGATAATACACCGCAGGCCGACCAGGAGGCTCATAATCGAAACGATCATCTGCCCATCTCCCACCTCTTGGGTAATCTCCAACCTTATATCGAGGATGTATATCAGGACGAATAAGTAGGATTCACTCGCACGCCCAAAGCTGTTCAATACCAAGGTAATTTTCAATGAATAAAATGTGTATTTAAGCAAAAATAGTTTATAAGATATATTTTTATTTACCTGTAGCGATAAGTAAGGCCCATCAGTACTCTTAGTTTCTGCTCGAGAAGCAATACACATCCGTGAGTATAAACAAGCCAACACCACACTTTCCCAACTGTATTCGCCCATTGCCTCCAAGTTTTGTACATAATCGAGCCAATTTGTACTAACAACATTGTCTGTGATATCTGCAAATAATAGGCCTCCAAATAGAATCAGTATGTACATTCGAACATATTGACGAACCATCTCCTCAGAGGCATTGGGCTCCAATGCTGTCCGTAATCGTGCCTTTATGAATGACATCTTTAATCGCCTATTTCAAAAGTGCCTATTCTCTGGCCAAACTCCTAAAATATCATAAATCATTTGTTGGCGTTGTAAGGGACT